CCTTATGCATCGGGGTATAATGAAGCCATGTCAAGTCTCTTAGCTGCCGTGAAAGGGCCTTTGCTCTCCGGTAACAGAGATCTGCCTGTCATGGCGATCAAGACTGCAGTACCTTCACTCCATAATTGGGATGGAGTAAGAGTATTTGTCAGCATCATTGTCGATGAGTTGGCTAAAATGGGAGTCCTGCGTCTTGAACTCGTGGTCAATTTTGCGACATTAGTATATACTCTCGTCAAGGCGGTCCCTACGACCGCACGAGATATTGTCCAAGAGCTACTTGTTCCGGAACGTTCTCGTTTCGTTGCGGCCGAAACGGCGGTGATCGGAATTATGGATATTTTACCGAGAGAGGCCAGGCAGATGGCTGTGGCTAGCCGCAATCCTCGGGTGAAGGTTGCTGCTCTAGCGAGCGAGGGGGATGATAGCAGTGGGTGGTCGAGTGTGTTTGTGACGTTGCGCAAGACGTTGGTTTTTGGGATGAGCGAAGAAAGGGCGCGGGGTTTGGACCTGGCTAGGGCAATTGTTAGAGACGCAGATCCTGAAGTCGTAGGCGAATTGCTTTCTATCATGGAAAACTCAATATCGGGTGACTTAGGAGATGAGCTGGCTGTTGGGTTCTTGGAGATTGTTACAGCAGCAATTCTTCGTGGCATAGTGTCAGCGGAAGACGCGTCGCGGACTTTAGAGAGGCGCATTGAGAAGCACTGTCCATCAGAAATGGTGAAGGAAGTCCTCGATGAAAGTGATGGCACAGGTCAGGCGAGAGGCCGGCAAACTTTGCACATTGATGTAGGCTTAATCTGGGATCATGACCCGGCTGCGGTTGCTGTGGTTGTCTCATCTGCGGCATCTTTGATGCTGGCGAGCAGGGACGTAGTATCGTCGGAGGGAATATCTATGGGGTTGTTAAACGTTCTTTGCCTCGTTCCTGTTGTTTGCATCCCACTGTATACTGCCGTAGAAGACTGTGCAATGGAGTTTGATACTACGTTTTCCGCTGCGAAAAGCTCTCGCGGAGCTAAGCCGAGAACGAAGGACATTCCACCTGCAATTCTCGAGACAAGTAATCGTGATCTTGCTACGGCGATATCGTCACTTGCTGTAGCCATGTCGGCGATAATTGGCATCCTCAACACTTCGTGCTCTTCGCTGGTTTCTTGCCAAAGAGTTTTAGACAGCCGGCGACATCGCCCTGCTCTGCGAAATGCAACAGATCAACGGGTTGTCTGGCATGTTCTGGAGCGATTAATGGAATTCGATCGAATGTTCAATGCCTTGCTTCTTGGTTATGAAGTTTTGCAAATGAAATGTGCGAATTGGAAGAAAATCAGGCGAAACGGAAAGCCAAAAGCCGTTCCGAATGAGGAGAGTGGCAGTGATAGTGCAAGCACAGCTTTTGGCAAAGCTCGCGCCATCCGAAGTGCTGTTTTGACAGGAATCGGCACATCCATAGGAGTTACAAGGGATAGTCTAGAGGACATGAGCCATCTCAATGCCAAGTACCCACGTTTATCGTTACAAGCAGTGCTTTTCTCTCTCGTAGCTGTCCCCGATGAGGAAGGGATCGCCGACATCGGGAATCTTGTAGCTCGCAAACAGACACGGGATACTGAATTAGTGAGAATTGATAAGCTTCTCCTTCGGCAATTACTATGTCTGATGATCGGTCGCGCAATGGGGAAGCGTGGTGGGAGAGGGAAGAGAGAAGCGGAAGCGAAAATGTCCAGGAATCCTGGCGCCGGAAGCGGCATGGAAAGCGATAATCTGAATAGCCTGAAAAGAATTCAACAAGCAATCAATGAAGTTTCGGCGCTTACTTCCAACTTCCCGTACATTAACATGGATATTGACAAGCATGAAAACTTATTTGTGTTTGAGAACGAGGACTTCTCTGATGAAGAGAATGACGAAGAAGAGGAAAATGATATTGCCGTCATTCGATGGGTTTGTCCCACACAAGAAGAAAGTACTCGGTGCGCCGAGTTCGTCAGGTCATCCACGAACCTAGCAACTCAAAACCAATGGGGATCACCAAAGCATCACATTGGAATCTGTGCAGAAGTTCTACATTCACCAGCCTTTGCCTCATTTCTGCTTGATCGGGCTGCGACTTATGTTGCGGTTGCCAGGAGCGGTAGAGGAACAGGGGTGGAAGACAGTTATCTTTCAAACGTAGTGACAGTTGCTGGTTTTGCGCTGGGGTGTCTGAATGCGCTGCTGCGAGTCCTTCCGTCCTGTGCTCTCTCAGGGTCTTATCCGCGCAGTTCTGAATGGTGTTTGAATGCCTCTGTGGGGAAGGACGTCAAAGCGTTTTTCGAAGGCATGGACAGACACCTAATCACAGGTGTCCCGGAAGTCACTGAAGATATTTTAAAAGACTGGTTTAAAGCCTCAGGCGGGTGCGGACAAAGGGTCATACGGACGATATGTTGGATTTCTGAGAACTCAATCGACGCTGCTGTTTCCGCTCTGGCTCTCGAATCCCTGCTTATAGTTGCTGAACTTGGCTGCTTCCGCCCTGGACTTGCGAGGAACTCAATTTTATCTTCTCTTGCAACTGTTTATGAGTATGACAGCGACTATTTATGGTCCTCAGACGACTTATCCATTCTCTTTCAAGAGCCATATGGTGAATGGAGTCTACGGCGGCGAGGCGATCCGAGTACGACAATGGCATTCATAGCAGAAAGCGCTGCATCGACATCGGAGCCTGCTCCTTGGGTGATTCCGCTTTCGAAAGGTTTGAAGAAGCAGAAAAAAATGAACCGATACCGGTTACATATGTTCTTTGAAGCGATGAACGTTTCAAATGCATTACTTGAGGCTTCTGGCTGGATCAGAGAAATCGCGATCGCAATGCTATGCACGAACGATGATGAAAAAGATACCCCTTCATCCACCGGGAAGGTTTCATTTTATGCCGAAATGGGAATGGATGTGGTAGACTCGAGAGTCTCGTCAAGACATGATTCAAGTAGATGCACCACCTTACTAGAAACGACCGGCTTCACCGAGGTCATGGCGACTCTTTTGCAATTGGTGCAGACCAGTCTACACTCGTTAGCCTTACCTGAGGGATTTAACATAGATGATGCGCTGTCTTTCAGGTCAAATCCTGTAGCTCAGTGGCAGTCCGCAGTCAGCATTCTTTGCGGTATTCTTCGCCTCAACATCATGTGCCGTGAGTCGTTGAGCACACGTGATGATGCAGGTGAGGTGGATGATGGACCCTCAGGGCCTGACCATGACTTTGACCACTACATCATCAGTTCTGCCTCTTCTGTAATGCAATTGGTCTGCACCAGGTTGGCTGAGCTTCATGCGTGGTGCTTGGACGCCGACTACGTGACAGACATCCCAAAATTGTCAGACGCCGTCATTGAAGGGTTCGAGAAGTTTGTTGGGAGCGCAGCACTGGCAGTGAGCTATTGTTCGGACCTCTGTGGACAACTGAAGTGCGAGTACTCCTCTTTTGCTACCAGATCCACTGATGGTGCTAAAGAGAGAATTCCATCCAAACGCAAGACTTTCGGAGAGGAGCATGTCTCGAGGGCGAGGAGAATTATTCCTCGGTTAAGTTCACAGTGTGATTCCGTAACAAGGGAAACGAGCAAGTTGGCAAATTTGATGGGCTTTCGGACCAAAAAGGCGCTCTTCAAGCTGGCCCCGCCGCCACTTGAAGACGATCCGGGATTATGTTTTGGCGTTGGCCTCGACCTCAAGGATGGTGGTGACATAGACTGCGAAGACGTAGACGTCAAGATTGGAAACGTGGACACCTCGACATCTGATATATGTAACACGAAAATAGTGAAATCTGCGGCCACTGATGGAGACGTAACTATGCATACACACGGAGCTGCGAACGAGATTGTGACAGGACCGCAAGCAAAGCCTGTTACTATTCGTTTTAAGTGAAGGTGAGACCTGACATGCTTTGTAATGTTTATACATACGAGTCAACGGTGTGGAGATATTGGTTCGTACCGCGACAAATAAGGTCGCGTGTTTGCGTCGTCCGGATTGTTCTCGTCGGTTGTGGTGCGCAGGAGCAAGTTGTGTAATCCAGAGTTAAATATTTGCTAAGCTTACACTAGGATACGGAACGAGTGATGCGATGTAAAAGACCAGTGGCCAGCTCGCATCCGATCGAGCCCTCGCCTCCCCAATCCTTGTCAGGCCGAATTTCGACGTTTCGCTGTTGTCGATGAAGTGAGGCCAAAATATTTGTCAGCGTGTCAGAGAGCTGAGGAAGAACGTTGCCATCTAGAAACTTTCGACCGCAAAAGCTTACCACTCGATTCGTCGCAGAAGAGTAGACCATGAAACTAGCAGCAGAATGTCTTTGCAGCGCCTCCACGATCTGCACGCAAATAGGAACAATAACCAAAATTTCGGGCGTCGTCAGTACGGTCCATGGCCGTGAAGCATAATAGCGCGATTAGATAGCCTCATAAAGATAGTAAAATCGTACCAGCGTGGAAAAGTCAGCTTCCTTTCGAAACACCTCTGCCGGTGTGCCGACAATATAGTCAGTGTTGGGCACGAGCCCGGCCTCATCAGCCGGGCTCTCCGGGAGCACGTCGACGACTCTTTGGACATGGTCTGCGGCGCCGGCAAGGGGCTCGTACCTAACAGCGGCGCCTAGCAAGCCCGGTCCATTCCACTTGACAGGCCTCAACGCGACATCCCTTTTCGCGTTATCGACGCAGTTCCACACGACGAGGGCGAGCTCCTTTCCCTCGTTGTCGCGCAGGACGGCGGCCAGTGAGGCGTTGTCAGCGTCGACGACGGCGCCGTTAACGGCGACGATGAAGTCTTCGAACGGAGCGAGGCCGGAGCGCGAGGCGGGCGAGCCCTGGAATACCTTCATGGCGCGGTAGCCGGACAGAGTGGTAATGTCTTCGACATCCTCAACGTCAGACACTGGGGCCGAAGGGCCAGAGGTATTCGCCTCGCCGTCATCGACGCTCTGCTCTTGTCCCATCGCGGGAGGAGGAGTGGTTGCAGGAGTGAGCAAGGATCACAGTGCACGCGACACTGGGGGGTGCGATGTCAGGAGGTGAGTTGGGGGCCATGCGGTGGCGCACGTCAGTCAGCTTCGAGGGAGCCACTCGCAATTGCCGCTCGCCACCTCTTCAGGACGCGATCACGTGTAATTTGGCTTACAGTTCCGATAAATTACAGCCAGGCAACAGGTGCCGTACGATAGGAGCCAACGATGGCAGCAGGGCCGGGAGTAGCCGTATTGAGGTTGCGCACTACTCCTCGATGGGCTCGTCCTCATCTCTCCAGCTCCTTCTTCGCTTTGCGGCCCCGATCTGCAACGGGATTGCTTGAGAGGGCGCCTACTAGTCTTCGTTAAACACGTCCTCTCGCACGCCCGGACGTTTTGCAACTCGAAGCGCAGCCTCGTCCGCGCGGCGCGCCGACCACGCGGCCGCAGCGCGGCCTACGGCGTGAAGTAGCCCACGCCGGAGCACTCCTTGCACGGTCTGCCGAGCGTGGCCTTGCCCTGGCACGGGACGCAGGGGACCTTCTGGCCCAGGAAGCCCTTCATGAGCGTGGTGCCCTGGCAGAACTGGCACGGCTTCTTGCCCGAGCCTCTGCAGACGGTGCACGGCACGAGCTTGCCGCGCGCGGCTTTGGCCGGGCGGCGCGGCGTCGAGTCGCCGCCGCCGAAGCCCTTCGCGAGGTGCAGCGTGGCGCCGAGGAGGAAGGGCAGCGGCAGCGGCAGTGGCAACGCGGGGAGTGGCGACGGCATCGTGTGGGTGTGGGGAGGGGCGGTGGGAGGAGGGCGCAGATTGCGGAGGGAGCCTTCGTGGATCAGGTTGGCAGGCGAGGCGACACGTGGACACGTATGAGAGAGCTTTGTGCCTGATCGGTCCTGTTCAGAGATGTTGAGCTGGAGTATTTTTACGTCACCTCTCCTGCTTTTTCGCCTCGCTTTCTTGCGGCGCAAGCGCCCTTGTGAGGCTTGATTGATGTTGTGATTTTTCACATTAGATTTTAGATTTTAGTTATAATTTCAAGGGTTTCCAGACGGTTGCGCGCATACTTTCAAGCGGAAGCATGGCGGCTATAAAGAAAAGGGGAAGGAAGGGTGGAAGCACCCAGAGGTTCCCGGGGGGAAGGGGGGGGGGGGGAATCGAGCAGAACACTGTACCGACTTCGCTGTTGCCTCGAAGCTCGCATGTCTCCCGGCCCCTACACGTGTACGGGCTTCATCTTCCTCCGCAGAACAGACCTCAGTGCTGATGTCAGCATTTTGTCAACAGAACGCAAGCCATCCAGAGCTCGATGTTGCTTTGTGTTGTACTGTAAGATTCGCACCTGTCTTGTCGACCATGTGGCAATTGCCTGATCTCCAAATACTGCGTCGACAAGTGTCACTAGACTGCGATATCCAGCAACGCGCTGTGCTCCGGTTGACTCAAGAGGATTGCTCAAGAGAGAAGATCACCCGAGAAGATCACCTCAATGGTCGTACTGGACGCCGTGTCCGTACTCCTAAGTAGCCGCCCAATAGCCTTCATGTGCTGATTGTGCGGCCACCCGCGGCAGTCGAAAAAAGTTTCTCCTTCGCCTCCGCAATACGGAAAATTCGCATCCGCCTCCGTCAAAAATCTCAATTAACTCGCATCCGTCCAAGTTCCCACGCGCCCTCTATCCTCAAATCCTGGCACAAGATTCACTCCACAACCCACATAGATTCTCCTCGCGACTTGTCTCGCCTCTCTTCCCTCCCTCGTCCTTCCCCCGCCGCTATGCCTCGTCCGTAGCGCCATGCCCCCCCCGCTGTCCAGCTCCCTCCCCTCCCACTTCCGCCTCCGCGCCTCTCCGCTCTCCCCCTCCCTCTCGCGCACGCGCTCCTTCTTCAACCGCGACGAGCCCCCCTCCGACGAGACCCCCGTCCCCGCCGTCGACTCCTCGCTCGCCAAGACAAGGCTCGAGGTCCTCCAGGGATGGGAGGTTAGCTTCTCCGTCCTCTCCCTCTACCTCGCCTCCGCCCTCGCCCTAGTCTACGTCCTGCTCAAGCTCGACTACGTCACGGACGAATGGCAACGCGTCGCACAAATCCCCCCCCTGTCTGCCGTCGAGTACTACTTCCGTCTCGCTCTCAAGTCCGCCGGCGTGCTCCTCCCGCTCTTCTTCGCCGTCAACCTAATCCTGTACCAACGCGTCACCGACGAGCAGATATGGACCTGCGCCTTGCTGGCCGTCGGCCTCGTCGTCTCCAACCCGCTCACCGTCGACCTTGACCATATCCCGTCTACCACCGTCGGTGTCGGCCGTCTCTTCGCTCGCTGGGTCCATCTCCCTTTGCGCGCCCGCGCCCTATCGGAGGACACCCGTGCCTCACTCATATGGAACGACGCCGTCTACACCGCTGTCGTGTATCTCTACTTGCTTCTTGCCGTCGAGTCGTACCGTGTTTTCGATCTGCGTAACATTCACTCATTTTCTTTCTATCTTCCCAAGCTCACTGTCGCGTTTGTCTACTTTCTGGTCAAGGTCGTCACGGGCTTTAAAGCAGGCGTTTCGCTGGGCCTTGTGCCGTTCACCCGCGTCATTACCTGGGTCGCCCTGTTGCGCAGTGGCAGGTCGTCGGTGTATATCACCGTACCGGTGCTTGTTATGACGGTCATGGACGCCGTGTTCGCAGCGTGGCTAGTACGCGAAGTCGCTGTGACGGCCGACTTTCTGGCTGCCGTCCCATACGTGGAGAATAGATCCAAGCAATTGGGCTTTCGCTGTTTTGTCTTTCAGACCCTCGCATTCTGCTTCAATATGATCGGTCTCTCTTGTATCATCATGTATATGCTTCCGCGGTCATTTTTGTATCAAGCCTTTGACGATCTGGGCGGACACTTGTTTCAGTTAGAACCGCCGGTCGCTCGACTCGCTCTTGCATTTGTCTATTTTACTTGGACGCTCGTCTTGGCTTACGTTAATCTTCCGCCACGACCCGTCATGCCCTTTTTGCAGAAATTCATGCACGAATGTTTATTTAAGGTACGCAACAGCCGCATCGCAGGCTGGGTCGGACTTGCTGATATCGAATCTACGGAGGATGCCGAGGATAGCAGCGATGAGGAGGTTGATGATCGTCCGCTCCAGGAACGGGACGTGTTTGACTACGGACAATCCCAGTTACCCACCTTGCGAGTGCAGCCGGCCATCCCGTTCCGATATCGCCACCGCGAGCTTTTTGATGAGGTTTCGTTTATGCCAGCAGCGGCTCTGACACCTGCGTTCACGCGATTCTCGTTTCCGTGCACGCGGGGTGAAGATCCCACAAAATCCAATATCTCATCAACTGATTTGCTGACAGAAAATGACGATGCCGAAACTTCGACAGACGATGTGCGGGTGTGGTTCGAGGATACCCCGAAAGAGAGCGATTCCGATGACGAGGCCTCTGATACCTCGACCCCAAATGGCTTAGAAGTCTCGTCCGCCTCAAACTCTGTTTCCGAGACGCTTCCGATGGCCATTGCCGGTCCACCTAGAGTGAAACCATCTGCGTTCGGCGCTCCCAAACGTCCTGCGATTAAGGCACGACGTCCCTTACCAAACCCAATACTAAATGGCTTCGGAATGCTAGCAGGGTCTCTCAGATTGCGATTGCGGAAAAATTTGTTTGTCATGGAAACACAGATTATGATGGCGAACGCAGCATACCTTGCCTACGTTCCAGGAAATGAGAACGAGGAACGTCGGAAACCTGAGCTTACGGAAACCATCCCTCTTCGCAGTGCGTTGCACACAGGCTCCCTTGGTACTAATTTAGACGAGCTCGATCGACAAGCTAGTCGAGATGTGATGACCGGTTTCTTCTCACGAAAATCTGTGCCAGAGGCTCCGTCTCCAATACAGCTCAAGCCCCAACCCGATCATGACGACGGAACAATGTTTCTTGTAGACCCCCATGAAATGGTAACCAAGTTCGGCTACCACTTGTACAGGCACATCACCAATCGTGAACTCAACACGCATGCTATCGTTCTTGTCAGCTGCACTCGAGTGATTGTTGCATTCAGTGGGACCAGGAATGTTACCAATTGGGGTGTAAATGCGAACTTCAGCAGAGCGCTTCTTGACGATAAGCTGAGTCGTTTCGAGTACGAGTTGTCAAATGGTGCGCAGACGTCAGAAGCAATGTTTAGTGATGATCACCTTGATCCCTTCGAACAACAAGGTAGTCAGCGAGACATGAGTCTGCAGGTAAACCATCGCTATCCTGGGATACGACAGAGTCGATCTGAAGAACGTCTTTGCACAGAGGGGGGAGATGCAAGTGATGCCCCGGCACCGACGCTTCGTGAAAAGGGCTCAGCTCGTTCGTACGGCTCAATCGCTCGTAGAAAACGGGGTGACCACGTACGCCTCGGGTACGATGGAGAGGACGGCTTGTCTGGGTTTGCCACCAGCGAGCGTGTCGCAATGATGGCAAAGGCATATGCAAGAGAACTCATGACTTTTGGAAGGCCAAAGGTTCATCGGGGTTTCATTGATGCGTACATGTCACTTCGGAAGCAAGTCATGGGGGCTCTGGTTGAACTGTACCGGGGACGGTCCCCGCATGATGTAGAGTCAGGTCAAGGCCCGGACGCAGAATTCAATGGCGCTGCAAAGACACTTCCATTGTTCTTTTGCGGTCACAGTCTCGGCGGGGCTCTGGCCACATTTGCCTCATATGAAGCTGCGCGATATTACAAGCGTATTGGACTTAGCCGTCGACATGATGTCTCATGTACGACGTTCGGATCTCCACTGATAGGAAACGACGCATTCCAGGCGAGATACGAGCGGCTAGTCGAAACGCATTGGCGCTTTGAGATCGCTTCGGACCCAGTGCCGAAGGTTCCACTGATTTTCCTTAACTATGTTCACGTCGGGGTCCAAGTCTTGATTGATGAATCAGGCATGCTCCTCATCGATCCAAGCTTCATCGAGGTGAAATGGTGGGGGCAGCTCACCAACTTGTACAATGGGTATCGCCATCACATCCGTGCCTCGTACTGCATGGCTTTACAGGCCTACTGCAAACTGTATCGGGGCAGAGCGGACGACATGTCAGAGCGCTTCTGGCCCTTCCCAATACGATTCCAAACACGTGGGTTGTTCCATCAATCCAATTGGTAGGACTAACGTTCGATGCATGTAACATATGTAACTTATCACAAATTCGTGCAGCGCAGCCTCTCTTCGTTGTCGACAACGAAGGGACATTTGTAAAATAGTAAAAAGTATATTCACAGCATATGCTTAGATCACGGAAACTACGACTTCTACAATGGCCGCAACTCAAAGACGATACTGTGCACACTCCTCTCTTCCTACAAATGAGCACACGATAATAATTGATCCGGCAGAGCTAGGGATCTGTCACAGACACTTTGATGATGTCGACCCTTGGTCATGAAGTAACTTTTTCGTTCAGAAAATGTGATACACGCAACTGCCCAAGATCAGGGATGCACAAGAATGTACGCGGTACTCTTTCACAGAGATTGATGCGTGGACCCATCCGTTCGATCTGGAACACACAAAACAAAAAAAAAACAAAAGTGGGAAAGCCTTTCCCGAAAGCTTGAGTTCCCCAAAGCCCTCCCCTCCTTTATGACTCATGAGAACCCGCGAGCCAATTGAAAAAGTTGGAAACTGAGATGCCCTGACCGCTGCTGCCGTTTGGGTTGTTGGAATTTCGCTCTCGAAACCCTCTGAGCGAGAACGAACGCCCTACGCCGTTTCCCCGCGACGAGTTTCCGCCTCTCGATCCATGCCCTGGCACGCTCGTCGAGCTGCTCGGGACCTCGATGCCGTTATTCGCACGCACGAGCTCTGCTGCAGCTTGATCTCCAATGGTACCAGCGGCCTCGTGATCGGCAAGACTCCTTGCTTCTTCCAGTGCAATGGAGGCAGCAAGTTCCTGATCGCGAGCTATCCGTCCCAACGAAACAATGTCTTTGGGTAACGAGCGGAAACCGATGGAAAACTGTTCGCCTAGGGAGCAAATGTGGTGGCTTTTCGGACGGAGATCTGTGGGAATGATGGCACTGATAGCGCCAGAAACATCATGAGCAGTATCAAACTTAGTTGTAGCAGGACCGTCCTTATCATCCAGAGTCAAGAGTGCCCAAAGCCTCGGCTTTTGAAAATTATTCCTCAGAACCTTATCCCAGGACAGGATGGTGTTAAACGTTGCGCCAACATGAGCCGAACAACACAGCACGAGAACGTCCGGCTTGAGCACACGGACATCGTCAAGAACCATGCGGCGGCTAGTGAGGGTGGTCCTTCGAAGCACGGTCAATCTAACGTTCGCGCCATAGATGGCAGCGTTTGCGGAGAAATCGGTGCCATCGCTGAAGACGTCAAGCTCCGAGTGGTGATCTTCGTTGAGTTGCGAGGTGGGATGCGGGAACTTTGAAATGAGCTTGCGCACAAGGGTCTTCTTGCCGACCTTTTCCGGGCCGAGAAAGACGACCTGGAGGGTATCCTCGAGGACCTTGCTCTCGCGCAGCTTGCGCTCCTGAATGACTTCGCGCACGCCCTTGGTAACGACCTGCTCGCCGGGACGCTGGATGGCGACCTTCCTGGCGCGGGCGCGACAGGTGGGGCATCGGCGCTTGACGAGGCGGGAGACGCAGACGTCGCAGAGGTTTGCGTGGCCGCACGGGTCGAGGGTGACGTTTGGTTGGCGCTCAAAACAGACGACGCAGGCGGCATCTGGGGGCGGGTCGTCGGCCGGAAGCGGGGAGACTGGCGGGGTGCGGTCATCGTCCTCGTCGGAATCGTGCTCGTCTGAATAGGCGGCGACGACGGAGAGATGGGCCAAATGGGCGACGGCAGCCTCCTCCTCGTCGAGGGTCTGCGAGCTGCGTACTGCGGCCATGAGGGCCTCGTGGTCCGGGTCATTCGACGGGTTGGCGGGGGCAGGTGGGTTTGCAGACGGGCCGTCGGTCTTTCCAGCACACTGGC